CAGAGTATTTCTCCAGGGGTTCTGCAGAGCATTTCTCATGCGATATGCCTTCATGGAGGCCTGAAGGGGTACTGAGGAGAGCTGCATGTGAATGGAATCAGCAAGTGCAGAGGCAGGCCAGGGCAGGGGCCAGCCCCGGCTGTGTGGCAGTGAGGTTCAGAGACCGGCTGCCTTTTCAGGGAAGCTTGAAGCCCATGCTGTCATGGAATGGCTCAAGCAGAATGAATGCTGCAGAGAGGCAGGCAGAACACAGGTGCTGAGCCCCACCTGCACCGGCAGCCCAATGCATTCCCCACTGGTGATAACAAGCCAAGGGGCAGCCCCTGCCTAGTTGTGCTAGGAAGACAATTCAGGAGCAGAGGAAGGCACCGTCCACGTATTGGCTTCCAGTGTGACAGCTCTTTCCACCTCCCCCAGCTTCTAGGAGACAGGCTACTGCTGGCTTCATTGCAGAGGAGACAAATAAAAAAGCCAGACAGGGGTGTGTCTGGACACTGAGGCTGCTCTGACACACGTGGCATGGTCAACCAGGGTGGTGGCCGTGATCTAGGACCCAGAGTCTAGCGGTGCTGCCCCTCCTCTTCCCAGGCATCAGTGTCCCACCACGAGGACCTGCTGAGATGGCTTCCTTTCCACAGATGCCCTCCTTACTGCAGCTGGTCCCTGGTCCCCACAAAATTATACTGAGATCCCACAGAAGTAGGAGGTGGTGAACGACCTGAGGGAACGGTGCCCTCCGGGCCAAGATGGACTCACCAGCATGGGCTTAGCTCTGCCGCCAGCGGCAACGGGCTCCCGGATCCGATTCTCAGGCACTCTCTCCTACTTCAGAGAGGGTTTAGACAGGAGCACCATGTCCGCTGGCCTTTATCACGATGTTTATCTGATTTAATACCTACAGACTCTGTCACCCACACGCGCCTGCTTCTTCAAGGAGAATTTCACACGAACACAATGTGAATTAAACTTCTTCATTAAAACAACTGTTTGTCCCTTCTCAAACTCAGGTAAAAATGTAGGCTTTTAAATCCCAACATGACTGTTCTTACTCAAGTTTTTTTCTGCTTAATGTTTTATTAAATGAATTGAAGATACTGTTGGAGTCTTAATTTTTAATAAAACAGTTTTTCCTTATAGAAAACTTGGTTTGGAATGATATAGTTTATGGAGGATAGCAAAATATAATTGCATGTCACAATAAAATTCAAGAATTTTAAAAATGGTTCCAAAAGCTGATTGTAAGTAGTTTGTTTTTATCTTTTAGCAGATTCAAAGATTAAAAATATAGAATCATCTTCATGAAAGCTGAAAAAAATGATAACATGCAGCATTAAAAAGTTTACTAAAATAGGATTCAATGAATACTTTCTTAATTTGGCAAGGTACATCTCTCTCAGTCCAAAAGACAACATCAAGAGAAAACCTGGCACAAATAATAAGAAATGTAGTAAGGTAGCAGAGTATAACATTAACATTCGGAAAACCACAGCTTTGGAAAATATAATGAAAAAAATGAATGCCTTTTGGTTAGCAAAAAAGAAAAGAAACAAAACATAAAGTTCATAGGAATAAACAAGAAAGTTAAGATCTATATGATAAACATTTTTAAATACTCTCAAAAATTGACATAAGAAAATCTGAACAAATGTAAGGAATGTGATGCTCTTGAATAAATGGACTCACATGGTAGAATGTCCTTTCTCCCTGATTTATTTTACCAAACAGTGCACCTAAATAAGATGGACTGAGGATTTTCTGGATCTTTGTTCTTTTATTATTATTATTATTTATGTTTTGGGGGGGGGGTTGAGGCAGGGTCTCACTATGTTGCCCAGGCTGGGCTCAAAGTCAGCCTCCCGAGTAGCTGTGACCACAGGTGCTGCCACCACACCCACCCTGTGTTTTACTTTTATTCTCACTGCTGGGAGAGAAATTTAGTCTGATTGTAAATTTCAAATAGAAAAAAAAAACAACAATAGAAAAAAGTCTGAAAATAAAGATCAAAGAAAGGGAAGTAGCCCCACAAGTTCTAAAGTCCTAATAGTTTCAATAACAAAACTTTGTTGTAGTGGACAATGAATACGATCACAGAACAAGAGAAAAGCAGAAAAAGTACAGATAGACAAACAAATCAGGATGTTACAAAAATAACACCTAAAATCATCAGTGAAAAAATGAATATGTGATAAAGAGCTCTAGCACCAAGGAGTAGCCATTTGATAAAATAAACACAAAAGAAAAAAGCTGTACCCATATCTTACAGTATGCTCCAGGATAAATTTCAAATGGATAAAATATTTAAATGTAAAAATAAAATCATAGGGTACTGCGGATGTAACTCAGTGATACAGCACTGGATTCAATCCCCACCACTGCAGGTAAAAACAAAGTTATAAAAGTACTAACAGAAATTAAGGCCACTGAGCACCACACTTGGGGCAGCCCTGAACTTGCAAGGCCACAGCACATGCACTCCGAGTGCAGTGACAGTGGTCAGAACTTGGAGTCCACTGCTGTGGGAGAGCTGAGGCCTCAGGACTCCAGGTGGGCAGCGTGGGGTGTCACAGGTTGGGATGTCCTGCAAGGTTTGCGTTTTGGCCACTGGGGAGCTCACATGTGCTAGCCAGGAGCAGGCAGAGGCAGGGGAGTGCTAGGGCCTGGGACAAAGGCCGGAAAGAGGGCCAGGAGGGCAGGAGCAGGGGAAGCATCGGTGTGTGTCCTCCGTATGGCCACAATGGATGTCCCTGCACCACCTGGATGGGACCAAATGTGAACAGTGGCATTCCCACCATTTGTCTGCCTGTGGTGTGGTGCCTCCAAGGSACCCTGAGGGACGGTCTCACACCTCCTGCTTCTCACCACCAGGCAGCACACAGCAGCCGCACACCTCGCACACACAGGCCAACATCCTGCTGATTCATCGGGTGGGTTCACCATCACCCCAATCCCAAATCCCCGTCTGCAGGCGTGACGGGCCAGACTGAGCGCCAGCCTCAGCCCCCTTTCTACCTGCAAGCTGTGGCATTAGTCCCCCTTGAGATCAAGTCCCAAGATGGAAAGGAGCACGTGACCCAGCAGGGCACTAGGCCTGTGAGAGGCGGCTCACGAGGGTTTGCTCCTGTGTGGCCACTTAAAGCAGCTGTCCCACGTGAAAAGCGAGAGCCAACGTGTCTCGGGAGAGGCGCACAAGGGTGCAGTCTGGCCACTCAGCTGTGAGTGCGCAAAGCAGGTCCCCAGGCCTCTTCAATAAACCACGAGGGCAGGTGGGCTGCAAACAGCCAGACTCAGGGGCTCTAGCCCGCCACGACACCTGGTAGGCCCTGCCCTCTGCTTTGACAGCACCTCCTGGGCCCTGCTGCCACGGCAATGGCGCCAGCTTGGCCCCCAGCCAGTCCAGTGGGATGGCCCTGCTCTCCACGGCCTGGCAACAGATGCTGGTCACTCTCTTGTCTTCATTTTGCATCTGTGAAGAGGGTTACTGTGGTCTCCTCCACAGGTGGCCAGCAGGACGTTCTGGATAGAACACTTCGGGGTGACCCCGGCCCACAGTCCCACCACTGTGGTTATCGTCATCAGAGGCAGGCGCAGCAAGGTACCCGAGCCCAGGGGCTGCGTAGGAGGGGGAGCCAGAGTCACTGGTCCACGAAGGAGAAGGGACGACGTGCAGCACTCTCGCTGCCTCCCCTGCCTCCCAGGGCAACGAGTTCTAGGTTTTCTATGCCTAAGTTTCTGCCCTCTTCATGTGGAGTTAATAATACTGTCTGGCTCAGGGGTACTCACAGATGAGAGCAATTACCAACTGCAAAGTGCTTTGAAAATAAATGAGCTTACTCTAAGGGTGGTATTTAATATTTATAATGATAAGTCTGCTTACAGCGTCACAAACTATAATCATTGGTACAAGGCTGAGTTTTATGACTGGTTTTTTTTGAACTTAGCATAAAATACTTTTATTTTAAAGTAATTAAATGATGTGTCAGAAATACTTCCTGCATCCATCTAGAGTCTTATCTGGAAAAACCCAAGATGTGATCATAGCTCTATTTTAGACAGAGTCCAGTTAACTCAGTGCCTAGCAAATCCAGCAGCAACAAATTGCAGGAAGACCACAACTGAGGTCTCTAACACTTGGACACTGAGGGCAAGAGTGATGTATTTTTGTTAAATTATTTAGTGTGCTATAAACCAAACCCCAGCCACTCCCTTCTACCCAATGTAAAGAATGTGCTTGGCAGCCTATAAAGCCATACACAAACAGGCCCTCACCTGCCCCTCACAAGGCCCCAGGCCCTTCTTCTCCCCGGCAGGGCTGGCAGATTTACTGCGATGCCAAGGTGCAGATTCAGTCTGTGCTTCGGGAAGATGAGTTGCTGAAAGGCAGTCTCCAAAGCGAAGCCTGCACCCTGCAGTCCTCCTCTTCAGGAGCCTGACCTGGTTCCTTTAAGCAGCGGGCCCTCCCTGTGCACTCCCGARCTGCAGATGAGTTTTGCAGAGGGGGATGATCTTATAGTCGTAGTCCTGAACCTTCCTGGTCCTGTGAATGCTATGGCCACGCTGCTGCCACCTCCACGGGTTGTTTTGTACAGTGTTTCCTCGTAGAGATGGAAGTCTGTGGACACATCTGTGTTTGTCTTTCATCAAGACATAAATAAATAAATGGGTATCTTATTTATCAGGTGAGGGTCATGTTCTGTGGTCCTCATTCTGGGCCAACAGTTTTACTTTCTCCATCCAATGGAGCCTTATTTCTATTTGCAGCCAAAGGAAAAAAGAAAAAAAAAAAAAAAAAAGTCTTTCCCCTGAACTCATGGTCCTAAAACACAGGCAGCCCTCTCTTCTGCAGCTGGAGGAGCGCTCTTGCTTGCTACCCAAGAGTTTGCTGAACAAAGAGCACCACCCTGTGTCTTCTCAAGGAAAGGCACCGTAATTGAAGAATCCAAAGCTTGTCCATGACAACAGCTGCTTATCCAACTGCTGAAGAAGCAGAACGAAAAAGTGGGTCCTCACTGGCATCCTGTTTATTCAGCACACAGACAATGCCACATGATAGGCTGCATTTCCACTGGCAACCCTAGATACAGCCTTCTGCAAATGCCCGGCTTGGAGGGGTGTGGGCTAACAAGAGCGCTATCACACACACCAGTGGTTCAGACCACAGTTCAGAGGGGACTTCCTGCCTGGACCAAAGTTATTCTTGGCTGGGACATGAGATGCACTGGAGCCGGCAGCCAGTCTCTCACCAGTTCACTTACAGAGCTGTGCAGAGGCCAAGGAAGGGAGACCAGTGCAAAGGGTACTTTTGTTGCATTAAGAAGAGTAACCAGCAAGCCCAACTCGAATGGAACCAGCCCAAGTCAGCTCTCCTCCAGCCCAGGGGCATGGCCAGGAGCTCAGGGTCAGCAACTGGCCAAAGCTTCCCAAGCCCACCTCACTGTACCCTCACATCAGCACTATCAGGCAGCCATGTCACTGCCACACTTCACAGGCAAGGCACCCTTGTGGCAGTAGCCGAGTGTCTCGCCATCAACCTGCCGACTTGACCAGCAGGGGCTTCCCCAGCACATCCAGCATGGGCGCCTGTGGCAAATACCACTGCTTTCCTTCTGCCAGGCCTGACAGGTCTCCTCTCCTGGCGGCCTCCGTGCCTCCATTTCCCTAGCAAGCTCACTCTGGAAAGGCTGGCATTTTTTGGTGGCAGTGCAGATTCCCTCAGGGCTTGTTGGAAGGACTCACTTTATGGGACCCAGGAAAGGCTCTCTAGACATGGTGAATGCAGGCACCTTTGGGCTCAGGGTATGCCTCCTTCTGACACCTGGCACCAATCTGCAAGACTGGCCTCCCAGCAGCGGCCCTTCCTGCTCCCCAGGAGGAATGCCCTGAGGTTATGTGTGCTCAGGGGCCCTCCTGGGGAGGCAACACCAAGATGTTCTGAGAATCTGCATGCTAAGAACAGGCTCTGGGCAATGGCTTGTTTTTGGTAGGGGTGGAAAAGAGTCTGGTAGTTTTTTTAGTTATTTGAGTAAAGACCCCAAGTGTGTACCCTCGAGTCTACTGCTCTTTGTAGCACTGGCCAGACACTGCCCGCCATCTACCCGAGCAGTGGCACTGACAGCCGAGCTAATCAGGCTGGGCCTTCTTTGTCTCTGCACCCAGCCTGGCTCAGTGCCTGCAGCACTCTCAGCAACAGTCCTTAGGGTAAAAGGAAACTGGGCATGCACCCTCCGCTTGTTGCTCCTCTCTGATGAGTACAGGAGGAGTGAGCGACAGTCCTCCCTGCCCTGGCCTGACCGGGCCTTACCCACTCCACCTGTGTGTGTTCAGTGTGATGGACGGCAAAGCCTCAACTCTTGCCTATAAACACTCTGTCTAAAATGATAAAAGTGCCAGAAGTGTATCTCTTCCTGAGAGGRAAATGACAGCCAATGCAAAAATCTGTCATYTAAAAGTAACACAGCAGGCACAGGCAAGAATTAGCTGCAGTTGCTGAAAACTTGGAGGAAGAGTAAGGTATTCATGTGGATTCAGGTACTGAACCACATCCTCGTTTCTAACTTCAAAAGGAAAAAAGATGGCTTTCAGTTCAGAACTCTGGCCTCAACCTCCTCTTCAAATGGAAACCAAGCTTCACACCATACTCATGGAGCAGAGTGACAACACATGCCTCTTGCTGTGATGTGTCCACCATAACAGGTAGCCAATAGGCACATCGTGTGTCCCTGAGGTGACACACGAGGCCACAAAACCACATACCTGCATAATGTGTCTAAGGTGATGCACGAGGCCACAGAACCGCATACATGGATCACACATCCAAGGTGACACACTGAGGACACAGAACCACGTATGTGGATCACATGTCTAAAGTGACACATGAGAATACAGCACTGTATACGTGGATCATGTATCCCTGAGCTGATGCACCAAGGACACAGCACCACGTATGTGGACCACATGACCCTGAACTGACACACTGAGGACACAGAACCACATACGTGGATCATGTGTCCCTCTGCTGATGCACCAAGGACACAGCACCACGTATGTGGACCACGTGTCCCTGAGCTGACACACAGAAGATATAGAACCACATATGTGGATCACATATCCCTGTGCTGATGCACCGAAGATACAGCACTATGTATGTGGATCACATGTCTAAGGTGATACATGAAAACACAGCCCCATACATGTGGATCACGTATCCCTGAGCTGATGCACCGAGGACACGGCACCATGTATGTGAATCACGTGTGTCTGAGCTGAAGCACCGAGGACACAGAACCACGTATATGAATCATGTGTCTAAGGTGACACGTGAAAATATAGCACCATATATGTGGATCACGAATCCCTGAGCTGACACAGAGGACACAGAACCACGTATGTATGTCATGGATCCAAGGTGACGCACAAGGACATGAAGGGCACACCAGCCACAGTGGGGCACCCACAGCAGCACAGGTCCTGCCATGGACTGTACTTTGCTGCTGTGGAGTAGAAGCAGCAGGAACAGCCTGCAGGCATGACCCAGCACTAAAGAAAACCTGTCAYGTGTGGGGCCCCTGCAGACACCCACAGCAGTAGGCTCCACCACACATCCCACCAGTTCCCAGGATCCCAGAAAAGAACATGCAGCAGCCCTCTTCCTTCCGCTGTAGTAGCCATGATCTCTCCTGCCAGATTCCTATGAAAGAGGGAAAGGGATTCTCAGGCTTCCAAGAGGTTCTAGAGACATCCGTGAGCAGCTGCTGCTGAGGCCGGGTGGCAAGCTCAGCTCAGGCCGGCCTCAGCTGGCCTGAGTCAGTACTACCTCCTCAGAGCCCAAGTGCAGGGCAGTATCAGATCTAGATTGAGAGAACCCCCACTGGCTTTCTGACCCACGAAGACAGGTCTAGAAGAGAAACAGTGGAAAGGCCTCTCCCCTCCAAATTGCAAATCCAAAAGCAATACAGCCCTACCAGCAGGATTTCAGAGCTTAGTTACAGGACCTGTTCTTCAACCTGTGCAGAAAATAGATGGATCTGGGTGATCATGGACTGTCACCCACTCAATTACAGCACACAGCAGAGGTTTTTCTCTGTGCTGCCAACCTACTGGGACTAGTCTGGAGACAGCAGCATAGCTCAGTGGCCGGAGCTAGGGCTTGGCTACCTCTCAGTTCTTCAGAAATAGCCAGAACTCAAGACCCTGTCTCGCCATTGCAAGGGCATCATGGGGATGGTCCCCCAGAGCAATACCCATAGCAAACACAGAACACCCTGGACACCTTGCAAAAGAGACTCCAGAGATGGGACACAGACCTCCCCAAAGGGCAGAGGGTGCTACCTAGAAGCTGCCAGTGACCTGGGAATGTTTGGACATATTCTCCAAGAGGAAGGACAATTGCCTCATCATGTATCCACAAGCCCCTAACAAGAGGCAATAGTTTCCCAGATGCCTGGACCACTTTGCAGGGAAGCCTGGGAGCAACGGCTGAATTCTTCTCTCCTCCAACCCTTCAGTTCCTGTACTAATTAGACCTCAGCTAGGAACATGGAAGGGGCTATGCTTCATGCCAGATCCTGACCAGACCTGCTGCCCAGCACCCAGCCTCACCACCCACCCCACCATCCAGGAGCCCCTTCCTCAGTGCTTGCCCATGAGCTGTCAGCCCTCACCTGACCTCTCCAACCAACCAGCTGTAAGCTGTTAAGAGCAGGTGCAGGCCACGCAGAGTGTAGCCACATGCTTCTGGGTAATGGCTTGGTGAAAAGCAGATGCCCTTTCCTCCAATGCATGCATGAGGACATGCTCCAGACATTTGGTTACAGGGAGGTCAGCCCGAGTGGCATATGAACAGCTCAGGCAGAGAAGGCCAGAGGATCTGAAGAAACACAATTTGATCCCTGATCAAGCTGCCATGAAATCCACCCCACCACCGGATGCCCCTTTTAAAGGATGTTAAAATCTATTTCAACTGTGTTTTCTGTTACCAAAAGCACTCTGACTTCATAAGACAACTTCATTTGTGGATTTCTAGGCTGAGTGCATTAACATTTGTTTCCTCTTATTGAAAGTCCAAATTTTCAACAAAGCTGTATGTGTAAGACCAATAGTTTCATTCCACTTGTTCTTCTCTTGGCTGGTATAGGTCACTAGGTTCTCAGTGTACTGCAAAATCGACTTTAAGAACCTGTTTAAAAAAGAGGAAAATTAGTCTATAATTATAAAATATAACGATGACTTAAATTATTGAAATTACTTCTCAAGTTAAATGCCACTTAATTTTTATAGATTCAAGAAAAAAACACAAAAAATAAAAACAACACAAATTGAATGAAAGACAAAAATGCGGATGGGCATCTGAAAGTTTACAAGATGAAAATTCCTTTTCACACTCTCTAAAATCCAGACAAGACATTCCTAAGTAGTGGAACGTGATTCCAAAAAGGCTCTGGGCCACCTGGATCAGACTGACCCAGCGCAGGAGCACGACATGTGTGATGACAAAGGACATGCCTGGGCCCTTGGTGGGGTGCAGAGCCCCTTCCTCATAAGAGACGCCTTCCACTAGAGACAGCCACCGATATCAAGTGTTCTCCTTAAAGACATCCATCAAGGTGGGCACATGGAGCACACCTGCCACTCCAGCTGTTGGGAGGCTAAGCAAAGAGGATCAGAAGTTCAAGACTAGCCTCAGCAACTTAATGGGACCCTGTTGTAAAAAATAAAAGGGGCTGGGGAGGTAGCTCAGTGGTGGAGCACTTGCCTAGTATGCATGAATCCCAAGTACCACACCAAAAAAGGAAAAAAATCGTTAAGAAGAATGGCTGGGTATGATGGCAGACCTGGCAATCCCAGTTATCTGGGAGGCTGAGGTAAGAGGATCACAAGTTCAAGGCAGCCTCAGCAAATTAGCAAGATCCTGTCTCAAAATACAAATGAAAATGATTGCAGATGTAGCTCAGTGGTAGAGCACCCTAGGGTTCAATCCCTAGTAGTGGAAAAAAATGTTCATCAAAATGACAGTGAGTCATCTCTGATCAACGGGAATAAATAAATGCCATTTTTACTTTTTCAAAGTTCTCCTAAACTTTCCCAAGTAGTATAACTTTTATATAACTTTTTAACTTGAAGATTTTAAACCTAGAGGAAAGTTAAGAAAAGACGCAGTGAAGACCACAGATGTTCTGTCCAGGGGAGTGTTCCCAGCTGGCAGTAGTTTTGGTCCCAGGGACATCTGACAGATCTAATCCACTCCTGAGGGTCACAACTGGGGAGTGGTGCTGCAATGTGGTGGGTGGCCAGGGATGCCCTGAACCTCGTGGAGAGCATAGGACACGCCAGAGCAGGTTCCCACCCAGACCCACAGTGCTGAGGCTGAGTACCCCAAATGAGTCGCCAGCTGTGCCCATACTATGCACAGCCACGCACGCTGGGCTGCTTCATGTCAGCATCCTGGGTTTGGTCTAACATGCACAGATATGTTGCCTGTGCAGAGCACTGTCTCATGGCCACAAAAGTACCCAGGACCTGATGGTGGAGGGAGGCTCACCAAGCACAGGTCCAGGGGCCTCCTCTGCTTTGGAATCTCTGGATGTGAAATGGGTGACACAAGGTTAGCCTACTTTCAGATCCCTGGATCTGGGTGGTCCTGAAAAATGACTTCCCCAATCTGAAACTGTCAGCCATACACAACGATGCTAATTATCTAAGAGCTGTCTGGGTGTTGCAGGGCTTCCCTGAGGTCCACCCAGCCTGTGAGCCCTCTGCCTGAGACAGCTGTGGGTCCAGACAGAGCCTCGAGTTGCACCTCTCAATGCCACACCATTTTTACAGCCTTCACCCAGCTTGCACCTGGACACCAAGTTATTTCTGCACAGACTACAGAATTCTAGGGCTGGGGATGTGGCTCAAGTGGTAGCGCGCTCGCCTGGCATGAGTGCGGCCCGGGTTCGATCCTCAGCACCACATACAAACAAAAATGTGGTGTCCACCGAAAACTAAAAGAATAAATATTAAAATTCTCTCTCTCACTCTCTCTCTAAAAAAAAAAATTTTTTTTAAAGTGATAAATTGGGCTGGGGATGTGGCTCAAGTGGTAGCGCGCTCGCCTCGCATGCGTGCGGCCTGGGTTCAATCCTCAGCACCACATACCAACAAAGATGTTGTGTCTGCCGAGAACTAAATAAAATAAATATTAAAAATTCTAAAAAAAAAAAAAAAGTGATAAATTTTTAAAAAAATAAATAAATAAAGTTTAGTTGCAAGTACATACCGCTAAATAATTTWAAAAAAAAAAAGAATTCTAAAAGGATTCACACACAAATCTCATGTAATTTTGTGGAATGTGCCTACACTGGGTGTCAGCCTGAAATGGTCACAATCTTATCAGCAACAAAATCTTCACAGAGGGACAGCTAAGGGCCCATTAGAATCCACTGAGGCTAAGGGGGAAAAAAATCACCACAGAATGTAATCAACAAGGGTGATAATGACTTAAAATTCCCCAAACATGACTCCTCCCTCTAAGTAGGACATACTTACTTCAGATACTGCTGGTGCTCTTCAGTGCCTTTTCTTTGGATGACGTGAATGCTGACCAATTCCAATGCAATGAGCAATAAAATCAAATAAAGCACGGGAGACAGAAGCCTGATGCTGAGAACAGACACAAGCAGACTGAGGTTGGACAAACACACGATTTCCACTTTCGTAAGAATGTCCCACCTAGTCCACACCTTTTCAAGCATCCTGAAGTCCAAACATCTCATCTCATAAGATCCTTTTCCAGACACTGCGAGCCCAATCCCTGCACCAGGCCCTGCCTATAGTGGTCAGGTGAGCCCAACCCCTGCACCAGGCCCTGCCTGTAGTGGTCAGGCTGGATGGACCCCTCATGCACCCCTCTTCACCTCCATGCCCACGCACCAGGCCTTCTCTACCCAACAACTGCACTGAGACCCCAGTGGCCCTGCCCCTCCTCAGGCGCTGTGCTGGGGAACTCCAGCACAGCCCAGTCAGGGCCCAGAGCCTCTGCTCAGCTCCCATGCTCTTGGTCCTCTGCAGCACCTTCCTCACAATTCCATGCCCAGAAGGGCTCTCACGAAAAGGAAGATCAGTGGCTTACAGGTGAATGTCACCTGCAATGTCACCAGACTCAAAGAAATGCCAAGCAAAGCCAGACCTTATTTGTCCTCTGATACTGGTAGAGGCATTAAAACTACCGTTTTAGAGGGGATGCAATGTGAACAGCACTACCTTGTAAACTGTAAGATGTAACCYGAGCACTTCCTCTGGAAGCAATGCACTAGCAATTCCCAGGACGAGCTTAGGGACACCCACAGCACTCAAGCCAYAATTTGGAAACTTGCCCCAAATAGTCATGTAGTACAATCATGTAGCATGACCTGACAGACATGCTATTAAGGAAGAAACCACAAAGCTAACAAACACAGTTAATAGGCTTTCAGATTTTACACCCAAATACTCCTGTGGGCAAGTAGGTCCCATCTGTACAAAGATTATTCTGAAACAGAAAGCACTGTAGTTCTCTACAAGAAGGGATCCCAAATGCATCCGCAGATACCTCCCTGCCCAGCTGCCTCCTGCAGGGCAGCAGTGGCCGCACCTGTTCAGCATACGCACGTAGTTCTGCCGCTGTCTTGAGCGCAGCCTCCTCTCCACCCACTGCCTATGCCTCAGCTGCAGGGAGGTCCTGACCTGGCTAGACACACGCTGGCACTGGGTGCTAATGCTGCGGAGCACAACCAGCACTTCGAGAACGCCTCTGGGGCAGAAGAGGGTGGGGACGTGGATGTTGCAGAGCTCAGCTAGCAGCTGGGGCCACCTGCAAGCAACAGCAGGAATTCAGGGGACACACCCCATCACAAGACCCCCACTGCCAGCTCCATCCAGTCTGGGCCAGCTAGCCTACACCCTCTGAGGGACAAGGACCAGCAGGAAGGCTGTGGCCTGGTATGTAGGTAGAGCTGGGCCTGTGGCATATGTGAGGTAAGTACCATTTAATGTGTGAGTAGAAGATGTGTCTGTGACTCAACAGACACACTGTGACTTGCTAAAGATCACCAAGCCTCAGCTAATAATTCTAGGGGCACCAACCCAATGGTGAAATTCCAATACACGACCAAGCCACTAAGACCCCAAAGGCACAGCCCCCCACTTGCTGCCCTAATTTGCCCAGGTGCTTCAACAGTCCCCAGGAGGTCCCAGCACTCACTTCTCAGTGGGAAGCCCATCCAGCTCACGGAAAGCAAGGTGATCCTCAGGCATGTGGTGAAAGAGCTCATGCAGAATCTCTGTCATTAAAGAGTTGCAGGCATCTGCTTCAGAATTACCCTCCAATCTAAAAAATAAAGAATGCCAAAGACACGTGACAACAATCAGAATGCCCACATTAGTGCCTGTGAAGAGCATTTATTTCAGTGTTCAATGAGTGATGAACTTACAAACCTGAACCTCAGCTTCCCTAAACATAAAATGAAAATCGCCACAGTCACAGAAAACACAACATCACAGGGCACGCGTGTAGTCACACGCCCCCCAGGAGGGCGCCCACAGAGGAGGTTGCCCACAGAGGAGGTTGCCCACAGAGGAGGGCGTCCACAGAGGAGGGCGTCCACAGAGGAGGGCGTCCACAGAGGAGGTTGCCCACAGAGGAGGTTGCCCACAGAGGAGGGAGTCCCCAGAGGAGGGCGCCCACAGAGGAGGACGCCCCCAGAGGAGGGCGCCCCCAGAGGAGGGCGCCCCCAGAGGAGGGCGTCCACAGAGGAGGGCGTCCACAGAGGAGGGCGCCCACAGAGGAGGCATTCACGGAGGAGGGCGTCCACGGAGGAGGGCGTCCCCGGAGGAGGGCGCCTGTGGTCCTGAGAGCACACTTCCTCCACTCCTCCTCCTGAGCTCCAGGCTCCTCTTTCTAAGTGTCCACTGAACAGTCTTGGATGGGCATCACATCTTCACCACACACCCGCCTCCAGATCTGTGCGCTGGAGAGACCGCAGGCAGGAAGGCCTCCAGCGCTCGCCTGCCTGTGGCAGCCACAGAGGGTAGCCACACCCCATGGTCCGAGTCCCCACAGTTTGGTGGTGCCCACTGCAGCTGGCAGCCACAGGGACTGTGCACCCGGGACGGCACGCACCTGGCTGCTTCCTGACTGAGGTCTTCCGGGAAAGGCAGAAGAGGCCAAGACCCGATGCTCTTCCCACAGCTCAGCACCTGGGAGGAAACGTACTTTTCTCACAACCACATCCTAGAAAGTATGCTTCCCACTGTCACAGATGCTAAATCACTTTCTAGAAAATATGATTCGTGAAATTGTTACAGATTCTACATTTGAAACTGAGATGGTTGGGCTGGGAAATCTGGTCGATTCCGCTGAGGGACAGACACCTACACCAGAGGATGGGGGTAGCGAACATCTGGATGGCTGTGGACATGTCCACAGATCCTTCTGGGACCCTCGGTTCAGATGTGGGACCTGTGTCCGTTCCACTGAGCTGGCACCAGCTTGGTAACTGGTCTGTGTCCAAGAGAACAAAGCAGAGAGAGGGCCCATGTGGCCCTGGCTCTGGGTGAAGCACCATTACCTGGGGACTGATTCTCAGGCCCCTAGAGGCCTCTGGTCAGCTTCCAGGCTTCCTGGGAGAGACACTGTCCAGGAAAGCCAAGGGGACCACAGCCCAATGACACCCAGCTGAAGCCACAGGAGGGCAGCAAAATTCTCTAATTTCTCTCCACAAAACTAAGCAAACTGACAGGAAGCTGCTGATACACAGAATGTAGGTGACACTGGGCCACAGCATCACCAGAGCCCAGGGCGCAGGACCGTGGGCCAGACTGGAAAGTGAGTGATCAACAGAGAGCACGAGCAGGCCACTGTGAGGCCGCCATTGTGAGGACAGGAAGAGACCTGAGAGGCTGTGGCCAGCCAGGCCGCAGGGCTAAGCCTGCCCTAGGGAGCCTTCCCTGCGGAAACCGTCCCTCCACCCGCTCTCTGAAGGCGGGCCCTGCAGCAGGCTCCGGCACCCCTGGCTCTGCACTGCCATCTTGAGAGCATAGTGCACGACAGGTACAGCTGCAGCAGGGTGGCCTCGGAGGAACAGGGCACAACGCCCGTCAGGCACCACTCAGGCTCAGCCCCACCTCAAGAGCACGGGATGCTGGGGACGCTCACGTCCTCGGGGGGAGGAAGCTGTTCTCACTGGCCCTGGCCTCCTCCAGGCTGCTCTGTGAAGGGTCCCTGCCGGGTCATGTGCTGATTTCACAGCTGCCCTGAGGGGGCCACAGGACTGACACCCAGTCCCCTGTACCCCCCTCATGTCCTGCCATCTGAGAACAGAGCACCTAGCCAATTCCCCAGCTGGGACTTCCTGGCAGAAATGCTTAGAATCTTGTCTGAATTCACAAGTCCATGAAAGCTGTCAGAGTAGAGGGAAACAGCTTTCCTCACCACTGACAAAAGCGGTTCCCTGGGCAGATGCCACACTGCCACCGGCTGCTGGGCTCTGTGCGCAACACCTCCCAACTCCCCAGCATCTGATTCTAAAACATCCCGAGACACACACTACCATCACTCTTAACCATCAGCCGCAGGAAAAGGGAGCCTCGTGGCTGAGCTTTCCCAACAAGCAAAAGGCTGTGACCGCAAACTGGCATCAGGGCCACAGGCTGTCAGGCCCTGAAGGCTGGGCGGAAGGAGCAGCCTTACACAGACGCTCATTCCCAGGCACCCTGGATCTGGCGTACCTGCTTTTTAAGCTGAAAAGCTGGGTGGCAACGAGAACTGTAGCCTTCTGCAAGTCTAAACAGCCCTTTTATTGCTGCTTCCTCCTAGTTCAGGAAAAAAATAGACAGTAGTTACAGTTTCTGGTTAGGTTTTCAGTTTTCTTATATTTAATTATAAGTAAGTTAGAATTTAAGTTCCTCATTATCTTCTTTCAAATAGCTTCATTTAGAATCATTTCATTAGGTATGAATAAAAACAAGTAAAACTATTCATTAAAATGGGTTAGACCTGGGCCGGGTGCAGTGGCACATACCTGTAATCCCAACAGCACAGGAGGCTGAGGCAGGAGGATCACAAGTTCAAAGGCAGCCTCAAAAAAAGCGAGGTGCTAAGCAACTCAGTGAGACCCTGTCTCTAAATAAAATCAAAATAGGGCTGGGGATGTGGCTCAGTAGTCAAATGCTCCTGAGTTCAATCCTCAAGACACCACCCCACCCCACCCCACTCTCAAAAAAGAAAAAAAATAGATTGGACCTGATAGTCAACTCATACTTAACAAAAGGATTTTCTTTTCTTTTTTCTTTCCTTTTTTGGTACCAGGAATTGAACCCAGGGGCACTTTACCACTGAGCCACATCCCCAGCCCTTTTCAAAATTTTTTATTTTGAGATAGGTTCTCACTAAGTTGCCCAGGCTGGCCTTGAATTTGCAATCCTCCTGCCTCAGCCTCCTGAGCCACTGGGACAACAGGCATGCACCACTGTGCCTGGCATGAAATGATTCTAAATGGAGCTGAAGAACCGTGATAACATACAAAGGCAACATCCTCTGTCCACAATGCAACAAAATTACAAAAACACCAGGAATTGAACCCAGCCCTTTTAAATTTTTTTATTTTGAGACAGGGTCTCACAAGTTGCCTGAGCACCTGGCTTCTGTTCTAAGACACTGTACAGGCACAGGAGTGTCTTTGGGGGAGAGGGAAAGAACGTGTGCAGGAGGATGTGACTGCTGCGTTGAGAAGAGAAGGAAGGCATCACGGGATGTGGGAGACCAACCTTGCACGTGACTGGGTTACACTCCCCGGCTAGGTGCTGAGGCGCTCAGTCACAGAAATGTGGCAGAGCTTTCCCCACCCTTCTTGGGTCTGAGAGTCTGTGTCTCCTGCATGGGTGTGTCCTGCTACAGCCCCATGGGTGGAGCTACGCTCACCTGTTCCTTTGTAATATAACCCCTTGCCCTGTTTAGGATAGAATCTTCCATGGAAGTGCCTTGTGTGTCCCCTTCTCTTACTGTGCCCCTGGGTGTGGCCTACCCAGGTGTCAGTCAACCTGCTGACAGTGGACATCATGAGGATAGACTCAGCCCCCTGAAACCTGACCCCTTGCCTCATTTGAATAGCTTCTCCTCAATAAAAGGGGTCAGCGCGGGCTCTCGCTCTCTCTCTTCCTGCAGACCCTTAARGTCAGAGGAGCCGTCACGGCGACCCCAAAGAAAAAGGTATTTGTGTCTCTTGTGTGGTTACTTTGCACAGCCCAGTCAGCCCAGTTTACCTGGAGTGACCCCTGAGCCTTTTATTCTCAAACGGGAGGAAGTGGAAACCTGTCGGAACCAGCGACATTCCAGGGAGAATGAAGATGGGTGGCCAGGTGGTGGCTTACAGTAAGAGATTTGGGACGTATTTTTAAGACAGAAGACTGAATATGGAATGTGAAAACACAGGAAAGAGGACTTGGGAGTTGTAGGCCTGAGTGGTCACCTGCAAAGAGAGAAGCTGCACAGATGGAATCTCGGGACAGGAGGGGCTCACCATGGGTGTGAACACTAGAGCTGCTGTGTCACTGAGGGGTTTTCCACACAGTGAAACGTAGGTATCGGTTTCTCTGGACTAACCTATCAGAAGATAATATCTTCTGTTGTTTTCTGGGTTTGTCTTTATTTAACTACACAAGTTCACATGGAGAGACTACAAAATAGGCAAGAAATTTCTGAGAAAAGAGTAATGTGAGATTAATTTGGCAGATATTAGGTTGCATCATGAAGTTTAACAAAGGCAAGAGCTTTTAGCCAAAAAAGGTCAGAGATGGAGCTTGATGCACAAAGAACAAAGACGTTGATGCTCTACATGGTATCAGATGACTTGCTGGAGATTTGTAAAGGAAAAAAAAATGTAAAGCTAGATTGTCTACCTCACACCCAAGATGAACTAAATTCCACTTGGATCAAAAGATGTAAAGGTGGGGGTGGGCAGTAAAAGCAGTAGGGAACACATGACTACATTTATAATTCCGGAAAATAAAGAAGTATGCAAGATTGGGATACAACTGGGTGTGGTGGTGGACACCTGTAACCCCAAGGACTCAGGAGGCAGAGGCAGGAGGATCCCAGTTTCAGGCCAGCCTGCACAACTTAGTGAGACCCTGTCTCAAAATAAAATTCAAAAGGACTGGGAATGTAGTTCAGTAGTAAAGTGCCCCTGGGTTCAATCCCCAGATCCCTAGTAGCACACACAAATAAAGAAAAAAAAAAATAACCCAAATGCAAACACCAAAGAGAAAACAGTCAAATGGGAAAGACAAATAACAAACAGTATGCACTGCAAATGGAAAAGAAGCCAACAGAAACAGTAAAACAGAAAGCATGGAGCAAAAGACTCCAACAGGCAGTTAAAACAATTCCAGACACCAAAGATCAAAATACCAAGTAAAGAAATGGGAAGAGGCAGAATGGAGGGTAGAGTCAGACTGTGTGTCCTGCCTTCAGCTCAGAGCCCAGACAGCTGCAGAAGAGCTGCCCATGTGGGTGACAGAGGCCCACCCTGACCCAACAACTGATGCAGAGTGACTCCGAGATTCTGGCTACTAGAGCAGAGAACAAGAAGGGGCTCATTCGAGGGAACCTGCACCTGCTCCACAGCACAAGGCAGGGCAGGGGAGGGACACCAAGTGAGGAAAGCTGGCTGGAAAAGTGGTTGGAGAAGCTGCGGGAGAGACAGTGGGCTGTGTGGGAAGCACTCGCGCTGCTTTTCAACTTGTAAATGGAGAACTGTGGCAGGAGGCTGCCTTGTGAAGGTCATGCTTAAGCTTGCAGCTTTGAGAAAGAGGAATCTCTGAATCTTCACATCTTCCTGGATATAGCAGAAGATACTATCATGGGGGAGTGCCTTTGTAGCAGCTGTACAGATCATACATACACGGTGAGATCGCTGAGATCTGAAAGCCATCTAGATCCACCGTCTCCCAGCAGCAGGAGTGGAGTGGGTGGGGTGCACTGCACTGCTTGGGTGAATGGCATTTCTTCCTGCATGCCAAGATCTTCTTGGGATGCACACACACCCATCACCCATGCCAAGGAGGGCCTCCCCACTCAGACAATGACACCATGGTCCCATCTCCTCTGCACCAGCAGGAGCTCTCTGTAACCTGGAGGCCATGTGGAGTCCCAGGGCCACCCTGGCTGTGCCAAGAAAAGGAAGGGGTTAACAGCTCTGGGCATGTGGCAATTCCCCAGCAAGCACACAAAGCCACCTCCATGCCAAAGACGAATCTGAGTTGTGAGCCACCAGAAAACACACTGGCACCCAGGCCCATTACCAGGCATGAGCAGGAGTCAGCAGGGTGAGGACTACATGGATAGGCTCCAAAGCCTGAGCTCCATGCAAGCTTTTAAAACAGCCTGATGATCTTGACATGGAATAAATATGCATAGCACAACCAGCACCATACTGGTTATTTCAGAATTAAAAAAAAAAAGACCCAACGATATGTTGTCTGCAAGACAGACATCTCACCAGCAAAGACATTCAAGACTAAAAGGATGGAAAACAAATGCAATCTGAAACCCAGCATGAGTAGCTATTTTCTTATCTGACAAAGCAGACATCAAGACAAACTTAGAAGAGACAAAGAAGGCATATTTACCATTATGTACTAATAAAGGGGACCATCCAACAAGAAGATATAACAATTATAAGACAAACACTATAAGGGACAAATAGGCCCATAACAGTGTGACTTTAAAACTGGGCATGGTGGTGCACCTGTACTCTGTTATTCAGGAAAGATGAGTCCAAAGGATTGCAAGTTCAAGGCCGCCTGAGACCCAGCCGCAGAATAAAAAAAATAAAAAGGGCTGAATATACTTTCTTTTCAGCTGTTTTTAGAACTTTCTCCAAAACAGATCATATATTGGGCCATAAAGTAAGAATTAGCAAATATTTTAAAAATTGAAATAATTTCTTGCATCTTATCATAATTAAGTGAAATTAGAAATCTACAGCAGGAAAAACTATAGAGAATATACMCGAACATGGAGATCAAACAATACATTTTTGAATGATGAACGGGTCACTTAAGTAACCAGGGAAAAATTTTAATTCTTAGAATCGAACAAAACAGAAACACAACATCCTGAATCTGTGGGATACAGTAAAGGCAATAAATACAAAGGTAATAAATACACAGCTATAAATTTCTAAGAGGAAAATTTAGCTATAAATTTCCCTCTTCAAGAGCTACAAGTGCCTACATTAAAAAAATCAGAAAGGTCTCAAATAACCTAGTGAATACACCTTAAGTTCTTAGAAAAACAAAGCAACTCTAAAACTATAAGTAAAGAAATAATAAAAATGAGAACAACATTAGTAAAAGAGAGAATAAAAGAATACAAAGGAGTAATGAAACAGAGTTGGTTCTTTGAAAAGATGAGCAAGATTGATAAACCCATAGTTAAACTAACCAAAAAAGACAGAAGACCTAAATCAATAAAATGAGAGACAAAACTGGGATAAAAAAAATCAGGAACACCATTCTATTCATAATAGCTTCAAAAAATCAAATACCTAGGAGTAAATCTAATGGAGGTTAAAAAAAAAAAAACACCACTAAACAAATTGTAGAATACAGAAAAAGGAATTGAAGAAGACACTAGAAGATCAAAAGACCTCCCATGTTCATACATTGGCAGAATTAATATTGTTAAAATGGAAGAGCTAAAATCAGCACACTATAGTGATGGGTACACACCAATGTTTAGAGCAGCACAATCCATAACAGCCAAGTTAAGGAACCAGCCTACATGCCCATCCACAGATGAAGGGATAGAG